AACATAAATGTCCTTCCTAGAATTTTGTATGTTCTGGGGGGTCTCCCTATTTCTATGCCTCAAACTTACTTTGAGAAATTCAATAATATTTTCAGAATGTTCCTTTGGGACTCGGGTAAGAAACCTTGCCTGACTCTGAACATACTACTGTTCCCTCTATCACTGGGAGGATTTCATTTTCTCAACTTGGAAAATTATCCTGTCGCCTTTCTGTTAAGCCAAGCATCTTTGTGGCTGTTAGATATGACCCCACAGGCCCCACCTTGGGTTCCGATTGAACAAGAATTGGTACACCCTCTCCCCGTGTCTGGCATTGTAGGATCAAATTATTATAGATTTGATGGCTCCAGAGCTCCCACAATAGCAGCTGTGAGGCAAGCTTGGTCAGAGTTGGCTAGAAAATTCTGCTCCCATCCACTCTTCTATGCAGAGGTGGCCCTATGGAGCAATCCTATCCTTAAACTCGATGGCAAAACCTTGATGTGGTGCGATTGGATGGACAATGGAACTGAGATTCTATCACAGCTAATTGACAATGATACATTTAAACCGTTTCTAGATCTTCAGCAACAGTTTGTCTTTCCCTGCTCCAGAGCATGGAAATATCTCCAGTGAAAGCTCTTGCTTATGAATGTATTTGGATGGGATGCATTGGGAGCTCCAGAACCTCTGGAACTTTTATTATTTTGGAAGAAACCCCCTGGGTTTACTTGGCCAGTGGTATTCTTTGATGATTTTCTGGCCCTCAAAGCTGCCAAAGACTAATAATTTGAGAGTTGCTTGGAGTAGAGATTTGGATACACAGCTCTCTCTGACCCAATGCAATACAATTGTATCTAATGTTAAAAAAGCAACTTTAGACCTGAGACTATGGCTTATTCACCAAAAGACACTTTTTTGAATATACTGGTCCCCACATAGACTAATGGTAATGGGCCTCATAAATGCTGACTGCTGTTGGAAAGGTAACTCCATATATTTTGTATCAAGAATTTCTGGTGGTGGGCTAAGGAGTAATTTAATATAGGATGCTAAGTTGGAGCCCTTCTCCTTAAGTTTCATTCTTGGCTATATTCCTGATACCTGGAGGTTACCTGATAACAAGGCAGCATGGTTCCAATGTGCAGTTTTCATTGCTAAAAAATTAATCCTGCAAAAACGGAAAAGTCGATCCCTATCAAATATTGATGCCTGGCTGAGTGACATGGCTGACCTCACCGCTAATGAGTTACTGGCATTCTGCAGAAAGGGAATACTTGAAAAATCTAAAGCAATTTGGGCTGACTTCTTAGAGGTTTATGATTAATGTATCCTGAAGATAGATATGTCACTTCCCCTCCCCTCCCTTTATCCTAACCCTCTTTATTTACTTTGCATATTATAAGAAATCTGGTATTTTGGTGTGTGGAAAAATTAATAAAGATGAATAATAATAAAAAGAAACATTGTGATATCCAGTCTGATTTCCCCCCCTTAATTACATCCTTTTTTCACCTATACCCCCACCCCTTGCACTACCCTACATGTTCTGTATCTTGCCTGATCCTATGTATTACCATAAGGAATATGTCCTAGATTCAAAAGTCCAGTGTCTTGTTACTGAAAGTCATGCAGTGACTTGAAGCAAGCTGAGAAAAGAATACGGGGAACATAGTACGGGGAACAACATGGTGGGGAGAGTTGCTGATAGGGGCAAACTAATCTAACAGGACTTTCTTCTCTGCTCATTGATTCTCTCCAGGGTGGATCCAAGAGGGACTCTCCAATGGATCCACCCTGCAAGGTGATTACATGCTTCTCACACCAATGTTGGCACACAGTGTAGGAAAACAGTCTCTTCCTTCCCTCTCTGTCACTAGCTGCTGCTTCCATCTGCTCTATGCTGTTGAGATCAATTGTTCTGCCCTCCCTGCTAAGGGGTCTCCTTAACATTTCTCCTGGGAGCCCTCATTTCCTCATTCCAGTTGGTTGTTGAGTTTAGTGAGTGCTGTGACTGCCCTTTCTATCCTTTATGTCCCTTCTTTTTTGAGGTCTCAATTGGCTAGCATGGTGCTGCCCAGGTAGGTGAACTGTTCTACTCTCTTGATGTCTTTTCCTTCTAATATGATGTTATTGCTTGATGTCTTGGTTTCAGGGATGTTTGTTTTCTGCAAGCTGAGCCGGAAGAAAAATACAGCTGCAGGCAGCAAGGTGTACCAATAACCTAAGCATGTGAGAAGCAGCAAACACCCCATCTTGGGGTTCCTTGTAGCCCTGGCTGCAAATACTGATCTCTTCCCAATGGCCCCCAGCCTCCTCTGTTTCCTAAGCAGACTAATTATAGCACACCTGTAAGAGGGGAGGGTGATACTGTACTGAGATAACAAGTCCTTGTTGACCTGCTAGGCCGTGATTTCCCATTTTGTATGTGTGCAACTGATTGTTCCTTCCTAAATGGAGTACTTTGCATTTGTCCTTACTGAATTTCATCCTATTTACTTCAGACCATTTCTCCAATTTGTCCAGATCATTTTGAATTTTAATCCTATCCTCCCAAGCACTTGCAACCCCTCCCAGCTTGGTATCATTGACAAACTTTATAAGTGTACTCTGCATGCCCTTATCTAAATCACTGATGAAGATATTGAACAGAACCGATCCCTGTGAGACCCCACTTGTTATGCCCTTCCAGCATGACTGTGAACCACTAATAATAACTACTCTCTGGGAACTATTTTTCAACCAGTTATGCACCCACCTTATAGTAGCTCCATCTAGGTTGTATTTCCCTAGATTGTTTATGAGAAGGTCATGCAAGACAGTATCAAAAGCCTTACTAACGGCTTATCTGAAAGAGTTGTTAGAATCAATGGGAGTTATTGGGTGTACCAGTCTCTTAGGGACTGTACATTTAAATCCAGATAGTTCCCACTGATTGTTGCTTTCTGTTAATCAAATACAGATGTTTGATTGTAACTATTGTTAAAGCATCTGACTGTTGCTGGAGTGGTTTCAGAATAAGAATCTGAGCTGTGTGTAAGGATGGGGTAGGGCTCAGGCCACTGGTGGAGAATTCAGCCTTACATAATGCTTACGGTAATTGCTGTGCACAGAGTGGCAGCTAGAAAAATGCCTTCCCAGCAAGGGCGGTCAGCTCAGCGAATGTCTCTGCAGCACCAACAAGGTAGCCAGGTCAGCTGACTTCTCATCACTAACAACAGGGGGCCAGTGATTGGGGCTTCTGAGCGGGGTGATGCAGCCAGGCCTGCATTCCTTTTGACACATCAGCCCTCTGATACAGCTAGATCTCGGCCAGGGAACTGTTCAGGGTAAGCTCTGGGGAAGGATCCCTGACTTGACAGATGCACTCAGAACTGTTACTGTTTGGCCTTCACCGCCGCTAATTACTCAATGTTCAGCCAAGCCTGAGGCAGAGCATCGACCAAAATGTTTTTATGCGACAGCTGAGGCCAGCAGAACCTCTGTAACTGTCCCCCCTGTGGTCTTGGGCAAGGCCCTGCTCAGCCTCTCAGCTTCATTTAATCTCTCTATTCTAGCATCCTCTTTGGTGGAATGGGGATAAAAATACTTCTGGGCCTCACAAAGGAGCCAGGACTAATCAGTTAATGTCTGTACAGCCCTGGGAGGAGAACTATGAGTGCGAGGGGTAAGTTATCCTTGTCCTATGCCCTAACAACACTGCCATCCTTTGGAAAGCGCTTTGTGATCGACTGATGAAAAACACTAGAAGAGAACTGCGGTTTAGTGTTACACAGACCCACCCTGACCTCCTTTCTATCCCTGTAAATTGCAACAACCCAATCAATCCAGCGTTATCTTGTATAGCACTTTCCATACTCGTTATTCCCAAAGCACTTTACAGAAGTGAATAAGAAATAATAGCAGAGGGAGAGAGAAACTTGAGTGGTACAAGTAAAGGAGGTGAGAGAGGGCATTAGAAAGTTTTAAGACCGAGTGTTCCTTCCCTATACTGTTTTGCTGCAGGCGTGTGACAGAGGTAATTAACCCATTAACAGGCAAGTGGTTTAAAAAGAGCACTGGAAGGAAATGCTTGAGAGAGGGAAATGAATGAATGAGAAGGCTAGGGGAACCTGAAAAGGAGAGTTCTCGGAGTAGACACTTCAAACCCCATCCCTGTGGGAGAAGGTGTGGAAGCGCTGATATGTATTGGTCGAGGGACTGAGGCACTGTAAATCAAGTACATGCCAGTGTTTACCAACAAGAAGGTCTCAGAGCGGTCTGTGTTTGTGGATGAGGGGATGCAGCACACAGGGCCGGCTCCAGGCACCAGCCCACCAAGCTTGCGCTTGGGGCGGCACCTGGAGGGGGGGTGGCGGGGCTCGCCGTCCTCCCCCCGGCGCTCTGGGCCCCCCCCATGAAATCTGAAAGGAAATGAAGAGGTGGAGACAAGCAAGGAGGCTGTTTCAGCAGAAGGGATGACCCTGCATTCAAGTCTGTCTCCCTGGCGATACAGGGAGATGAGTACAATAGTTCTTCTGTGGCAGGGTGGGTGCAAAGCACTTTGCATTTCCATAGTCTCTTCTGTCAGAGGATCTCAAAATGCCATCATCAGACAAAGGGAGCTACCTATTTTCCAATTGTCCCCGAGGTACCTGGCTCTTAAGGCTGAACTGGGGGAGGGATAGCTCAGTGGTTTGAGCATTGACCTGCTAAACACAGGGTTATAAGTTCAATCCTTGAGGGGGCCATTTAGGGATCTGGAGCAAAATCACTACTTTGTCCTGCTAGTGAAGGCAGGGGACTAGACTTTGAGATAGGTATATCTCCATATATTATAAACTTGGCATTTAAGACAGAAAAGATGCAGCAGTACTTGGGCCCTGTTACCTAGGGGCAAGGTCTGGTGGTGCAAGTGGAATCAATTTCTTACCAATACAGGGGGACAGCAGTTAATTGGGGCCACATGACTCCTCCCCATCACACCCCCAGCCTGCCCCCCCCACTCTCCCTGTCCCCTCTTCATGATCCAGCCCCCTTACTTGGAGACAGGGGCTCTGTCCTCCTCCTGCTGTGCTGAAGACTTCAGAACCGCAGCAGCGAAAGAAGCAGAAGTGGGGCCACTGGGGAGCCCCATGCCCGCAGCTCCTCCATGCGGTTCTATCGCCCCAGGCCTTCCATGCAGGATCTCCTCCGTCTGTACAGCAGCAGCCCCGCTGGAGGACAGGGCTGGGGCGGCACAGCCGCGCCAGAGGAGCTGCCAGTTTGGGGCCATCCAGTGGCCCCATGTTCTGCTCCTTTCCCCCCTGTGGTTCAGGGCTCTCCCGGGAACCACAGCAGGGAAAGGAGCAGAACGTTGTACCGCCTCCAGCCCCGCCCCCCAGCCCTGTCCCCTGGTGGGGCTGCTGGTGTGCAGGAGGAGCCGGAGGAGACACCGCTCCGTGGAAGGGCAGGGGGTGGGGCTGGGGGTTCTGCTCCTTTCCTCGCTGCGGTTCCTGGCAGAGCCCACAACCACAGGGCTCTCTCGGGAACTACAGCGGGGAAAGGAGCAGAACATGGGGCCACCGGGCAGCCCCATGCTGCAGCTCCTCTGGTGTGGCTGTATTGGCCCCAGCCCTGTCCTCCGGCGAGGCTGCTGTACAGACGGAGGAGACCCTGCGTGGAAGGGCTGGGGGCGGTACAGCTGTGCCGGAGGAGCTGCCGGCATGAGGCTGCTGCGCAGACCCACATTCTGCTCCTTCTGTGTCTTTTCAGTATGCTGTACCAGCTATAAATATCTTGTCTTCAGGCAGGGATAGTTTCTCACTGTGTTTGTGCAGCACCAGCTCAAAGGGCCCCTGGTCTCGGTTAGGGTCTCTGGGTTTCCCTTGATACAAATAATGAATAGTAACTTTTCATCTAGGGTAACCAGATGTCCCAATTTTATAGGGACAGTCCCAATTTTGGGGGCTTTTTCTTATATAGGCACCTATTACCCCCTACCCCCGTCCCAATTTTTGACGCTTGCTCTCTGATCACCCTATTTTCATCACTGCTGATTTGAGGTCAATTAGACCCAGTGATCTAGAGATGAAAATTCCATTATCAATAACCCCAGAGCAAACTGGCCTCCCGAAAGGAAGCCTTTCCAAGCAAGGGTGTTCGGTTTTGTGCGAGTCGAAAGTTGGCAACCCTAGTCGTGAGGCCTACAAAAAAACTTTACAACAGTCACCATGGCCTGTCACCTTGACCGGTATGGCCTCATTCTTTCTTTAGCCGCTTGTATTCCAAAATAATTGTCCACACACGTATTGGAACCAGCCGAACAAAATCAGTTTTAATTTGCCCCTTATGTTCTGGTGCGAGTTTGAGTGTTTAGATCTGCTTGAAATTACAACAGTTGGCTGGTAAAGGCCCAGGGCACCCAAAATGTATTTGCTTCCCCAGTCGCTGGTTCTATGCTAGCTCAATAGGGTGCCGCAGCTTTGCAAGTACTGTCATTCCGAACGCCTTCCGAAGGAGCTAGTGCTGAACCCTATTTATATCTTGTGGGGAGAAGGGGAGTAAAACACATTGCTCTGCATTATTGGGGAGTAGATGCCTACTGAGCAGGAATACCCTTTACCTCTTTCCCTTTTATGTGTAGTCAGTGCAGGTCTAATAGACGTGCTTGGAACAGGAACAGTAGAGTCATCAGCAATGCAATTCCCCCCACACTACCTACCTATACACTCAGCCTTTAACCCTAAGATGCGCACCTCCAAGCAAGGTAGGTAGCTCAGTCTATGGCCTGCTCAGGCCTTTGCTTCCCTGCCAGGATTGCTAACAGGGTGTGCATTTTGGGTGTCTTTTTTTATGGGGACACTGACATATTGGGGACTGGATTGAAATAGGCTCATTTCACACAAGCTACTAGATCAGGGGCGGGCAACTGTTTTGGCCTGAGGGCCACAGCGGGTTTCCGAAATTGTATGGAGGGCCGGTTAGGGGAGGCTGTGCCTCCCCAAACAGCCAGGCGTGGCCCAGCCCCCAATGCGACCCCCCCCGCTTCTCACCCCCTGACAGCCCCCCGGGACACCTGCCCCATCCAACCCCCCCTGTCCCCTGACAGCCCCCCCAGAAGGCCTGCCCCATCCACCCCTCCCTGTCACCTGACTGTCCCTGGACCCCCCGCCCCTGACTGCCCCCCGCTGCCCCATCCAACCCCTCCTCTCATTGCTGACGC